GGGCTTAAAATGATCACAAAATTCGAAATTTTAAGAAAAAAATAAAAATTGAAAATTTTTTTTTTATTGACAAAATTTTCGGCCAACCCCTACGTTTCAGAAATTTGGAAAGTTTGCAAAATTTTGAAAACTTAAATTTTTTGAAAAGCTTCATGGAAATCGAAAGTTGCACCATTTGCGATGATTTTGATCTAATTTTTTTTTTAATCCGTCCAGGATTTCAAAAGTTATGGCGGTTTTAAAAACAAAAACATTCAAATTTGGCGAATGTGGCGCCACGCCACAGCGCCAAATATGAGTTTTACACGGAAGCAAGAATGAATCCTTCACCTAGGGTCCTGGTAGATTCTAAAAAGCATAGTGTGCATCCTAAACTCGAGAAGCAGTCGGGAACCTTCCCTTGTCAGTGAATGGTGTATCCTGCGAGATGTGCATAAAACATACATACAAAGATTGCGTTAAATAAAGTATTCGCTATTTGTTTCTATGTATTTAGATGGAGGAGGGAACATGTCATAATAATGATTAATAAAGCTCATTAACCAAATAGTAATGTAATATCGTGGCTTATAATACGTTTGTGACGGGGAGCAGTCGGGAACCTTCCCTTGTCAGACCCTTCCAGTCAACTCTTGTCATGCACTTCGCATGTTTTCCTTGTACATATTTTCCTGTTTCCAGTACAATCAATAAAAGTGTATAAAAATCGAGTTTTTTCAGTCGGCTCGTTCCTGCTCTCGCACATCACATGAGCATATTTCTCGGCACACCCATTTAACGTAGATGTATCAGGTCCCACCAGTGATCTATAATTCACAAGATATCCTGATCAAGATATTGATGTGTTCATGCATAACTCAACTTTACTCTTGTTCCTTAGCCAGCATTAATTAAATACTTTGAAGTTTTTGTAGGTCAAACCGCATTTCCATATTTTAAATAACATATCTACATTTCCTTTTACATACGTTGCATATTAAATTATTTCGTCTTGATGTAATGGGTAAGAATCATCATTTCCTATATCTTGGCAAAGACACAAACTTATGGAACATCAGGATCACCTCTCAACAGGCCGCATAAAGGATTTCCCGGAAATAGATTAATGATACAAAGGAGACGATAACTCTTAGAACCCGCGAAAACATGAAATTCAAATTTATGTCATTCGAAAGACAGATAGTGTCAGTCGAAGTTTTCTAAGTTTTAAAAAGATTGCACTTTAATTACCAAAGTTCGAAAAGCGTATTTTTCACTACCGTAATAACGTGGCTGGGTGAAATAAGAAAAAAATACAGGACAATTTCACTGCTGAAAGCACGTCATAATTGGCAATCAACCAAAATATAATATGTAAGGTGTGAGAAAACTGATGAAGTAAATATTAAACACATTAAAGGCCACACCCCCGTGAAATCCTCCCCCAAAGAAAAATCAGGATAGTGTGATGATCAGGAAATGGTGGGCATCAATAATTTAATTAGAATTCATATAAAACCTGTTTTTGTCCTAGAACTTTTTACAATTCTAATTTCCGAAAGTCGGATTTGGTTAGGATATATATTTTTTAACCGAAATATTCGGATTCGGTTGGGTGGATTTTAATTTATTTCCAAATACTATTTTCGTATTTATTTCTATTTTGCCTTTGCCTCTGACTATTGAGTGCACACGCACAGAGTGATTTAAAATTGAGGTTAGACAAAACTATTCTGTGGCTTTTCTAAGAATTTGTCAGGTTTGTAAAGAAGATATGTGGGAATTTAGATTCGGTTATTCGAAATTTGGATAAACTATCCAAGGACAATTTATCCGACATTCGATTAGGATGCATCTGAACCGAATCATTTGGTTCGGTGTGGATTCCATCGAAAAATTAGGATTCGGTACGGTTGAAAATTTGTTCAGTCGACGGATTCGATTTCGTTTGGCCGGAAATTTGTTCAACCAGAAAATTTGAATTCGGTTCGGATGGATTAGAAAAAGGGTTCAGCGGACTCAACTCTGACTTCCAGTATTCCCGATCACTGGGAGGTTTAGCTATAATTCTTATAATATGACGATATGTAGCACGAATGTAAGTTTTCCACTTTACAGTGCTGTCCATGTTGTACCCTTGTCCAGGTTTTTCTTATCCTTATTTTGCCATCCTTATTTTGTCTTGTCCAGCACCACGCTGTCGTCATTATGCCCGGAACCCGATCGAGAAATTGTAAATATTTATTTATATGTATAGTGGCTCCAAACCAAATTTTGTAGAAAATCGAAAACCGATTTTGGAGTGCCATAAAACCATTCTTTACACAACTGTGGGCAACAAAAACAGTTCTCTGATAAATTTAGAGCCGGTTTGCAATTACATCAAACTGATTTCTACCCTAATTTACACAATCAGAAAAACCGTTTTTTACGCCTTAATCATGGCTCGACACCCTGTTCACCGGGGGCTCTTTACACCATGCTGAAAATTACGAGGTGGGAAAGTGTGCGTTGTGGTAACGACAATTTACCACTCAGAACCAAATTATTTCTAATCGGAGAGGAAGCTAAATATTACTAAATAAATCTGTACAAGTACGGAGTGTCACGTGACTTCATCACATTTAACAGTGTGAGGATCGTGCACAAATTGTAAATTTATTACAAAAATTACTGCATTACTAGAAATTTTTGACACCAATACATTCTACATCATGGTGGGTGCACACATTGAACACCCAAATATTTTGAACAGAATGTATTGGTGTCCCCAGAGTGGACATTGGAATGTACACCGTAATCACTAAAGGTATTCATGATTTCTCACCCAACCTATTTTTAACCAGAAACCTTTGTACCTTAAAACCTTTTCACAAAACTCTCAGTATTCAACAGTTCATCACCGAACATGCCGAGAAGGATGACGGAGCTATTTTAATCCCTCCTTGACACACGTGAAATCAGTTCGTTCCAACCAACTCCAGCCTAACTACCTGCGTAAGTTCTATGTACAGTGTCGGACAGATGTCTACGTCCACATAGTCGCGTCAATTTCATTTTCAAATTGTCACTGAACTACGGAACCAATTTTCATCATTGATATATCAAATTCTCACAAATTTAACGTAATTTCATAGCACATTATTAGTTTTCCGCTAAAAAATTTATTTTAGGCCAGAGATGTATTTTAATTCAAAATGAAAACAATTGGATGGACAAAAGTCAACGTCCAGTCAGAGAAAACATACAAAAAAAACTGCAATTTATAAGGAATGTTATAACAATTAATTTTTAATATTTGGTTGGGCCTCCGTTCGCTTTAAGGACGGCTTCAAGGCGTCGAGTCATTGAGTTTACCAAATTCTTGGTCACATCTTCAGAAATGGTTTCCCAAACTTCACGAATTCTGGATTTAAGGCCCGGAATTCCTGAAAAAGATTGTTTTCTTATTTCTCTTTCAATGTGGTCGCACAGATGCTCAATGGGATTCAAGTCTGGAGATTGGGGAGGCCATTCTAGCTTCGGAATTGTTTTTTCTTGAAGTATTCCATGGTGGACTTGGCAGAGTGTTTCGGATCGTTGTCTTGTTGGAAGGCAAATCGTCGTCCAAGTCCAAGTTTTCGAACAGATTCCTGGATATTACGGTCAAGTATTCCCTGGTACTTGTATTGGTCCATAATTCCGTCAATAAATTCCATTTTTCCTGCCCCACTTGAAGCCATGCATCCCCACACCATTACCGACCCGCCGCCGTGCTTAACTGTGGGGTTGAGATTTTTTGGATTCAAAGCTTCTTTTGGATATCTCCACACTCTACGACGCCCATCTGACCCAAAGACATTGAACTTTGACTCGTCAGTCCATAAAATATGTCCCAGAATGTTTGTGGCTTGGAAATGTGGTCTCTGGCAAACTTCACTCGTTTGGTTGCATTCCTCGGTACAATAAGAGGCTTCCGGACTGCTCTGTGGGATTTCAAATTTCCCTTGTTCAGTGTTCTTTGGATGGTCCTAGGACTAACTTGTTTGTCGAACATCTCCTTGATCTCGGTAGATAGCTTTGGAGCACTAAGTGAGGGTGTAACGTTGACTTTGTTGAGCACGTGGCGTACTTCTCGGTGAGCCAAAATCGGTTTTCGACCACTTCTGACCTTGTTTTGGACTGAACCATTAGCTCTAAAGTTCTTAATGATTGTCTGGATGGTTGTCCTTGCTAATTTATACTTGGTCCCTATTTGTCTCTGCGACAGCCCCCCTTTTTGTCCACCCTTCCAGTCCTGAATGACAAGATCTCGAATAGCGATAGGAATTTCCTTGCGTGTCGACGCCATCATATTTTTCTGGAAGAAAATTATTTAAAAATTAATGCGGCATATGTTATTGATAGATTTATTAAGTTACCTGATTTTATAAATTGGAGAGATTTTTGTTGTTGACAATTAAAGTGAAGTGGACGTAGACTTTTGTCCGCTCAAATTTCATCCTCTCTCGCTCTGCACTATGATTCTCAGTTTTCCCAGAATTTTCAGAAATAACTCATATGTTTTATGAAATTACGTTAAATTTGTGAGAATTTGATATATCAATGATGAAAATTGGTTCAGTAGTTCAGTGACAATTTGAAAATGAAATTGACGCGACTATGTGGACGTAGACATCTGTCCGACACTGTAGTGTCAACGTAAAATCTTGTAATAAAGAAACAAATAAATTGTCTCTAATTTTTCCAACGTTACACTCAATACAAAAAATTGTCAAATTAACACCGTCGGTGTCAATATATTGCTTAACCGCCTTGGCAACAATTGTGATTCCGAGTGGTAATGAAATTTTTCCGTTCGGTCATAACTACTGGTATTAAAAGCATCATAACTCGGATACAACATTTTAACCAAGGGGGTTAAGTCATATATTGACACCAGCGGTGTTGATTTGACAAATTTTTGACTTGAGTGTAGGAATTTAATAAATTTAGGAAATTATGAATTTTACTTTATAGCGTGGTAAATCCAACGTTACACATAAAGATGAACAGTTCTACACACTTGATCTCCAGGTTACCCGAGGTATTTAATAAATTCATTATAGGTTTTGATAATTTGCAAATATTTGTTACATTTTTAGAACATGTGTGGCCTTACGAGTCCGTTATTCACATAATTCGTAACTTTTTTTACAATGTGGTAAAATTTTGTATTTTTTACTATTTTGGAAGATTAAAACAAATTGTTGTGCATACTTAATGTGTGTAATTATGAATTGTTTAATCGTGATATTCTAGTAATTCAAAACTACATAAAATTTTTTACGATTATCTATTCAACGTTTGGAAATATTTACTTTGAAAATTTGCAAAAATTTATTTGTTACGCATTTTTAATGTGCAAGGAAAAACTCGTTAATCATGCCCTTTAAATAGTTCGTAACTTCAATTTTTCACGATTTTGCAACATTTGGAAATTCTTACGATTTTGGGAAATTTGCAAATGATCCCTGCATTTAAATAATTCGTTACTTAAAATTTCACTGATTTCAGACAACCCACAAAATTATGGACTTCCTGCCCACTCCCGACCTAGAATCGGCTTCTCTCGTCAACTCAACGTGGGAGCAGCAAACTTTACTCCATCTACTCGTACGAAATTCAGTCTCTGTCCACCTTCACAACGTACACGATTCCATGCACCTCTTGCCGTTTAGGAACCTGTCCCCCAAACAGCTCAACGTAGCAGTTCATGCGCCTGAAGAAAATGCGGAGATTTTACTTTCACGAATAGAACTATTTACCGCCATCAAGTTCAACACGGTGACGAAATTAAGTCTCATTTTCCCCCTCGATAACTCCTCCCGCCACGTGGCGGCTCGACTCGTCAAGATTTACGAATCTTTCAAAAACTTGAAATCTCTTGAATTTCACCCATTTGTATACCTTTCAAACGCAGCATTTTCTTCCGATCAAGATTGGACCGACCTTCTTCCTGACAGTCTCCATGTGCCCCAGAAACTTACCACTCTGACCGTTGCCATGTCCAAACTCTATCCCGATGAGCGGGCCGGGCGATGGAGTCACCTGTACTCGCTAACCACCCGGTTTTTATTTATCTTCAGATGCGTGCAAAATCTCAAACTGATCGACACTCCTGCCATGCTGATTCAAGGAGCAGATCTCATTTTACCCCATCTCAATTCAATCTCCTTCCTGTCGACGTATCATATTAGCACAAACCCCATGAGATTTATCACCTCTGAGTTTCCCCTTAAGCAAAACTTTTCTAACGTTACTCGGCTCGAGTTTAACATTAAGCTCAATGACACGACACGCAAGTGCGAGATATTAAACCTCCTTGCGCCACAGTTGGAACATTTGTGCATTTCCGCGGTACAAAATACAGGGCCGGCAAATAATTTCCACATTTCGCGGTCCATTACAGTCCCGATTATGCCAAGGTTGAAAACTTTTGAAATTTTGAGAGTCCCTGGTCTAATTTGTAGCTACGAAACGAACTGGTTTCGACCTTATCTCTTTTTACAATTTGAAACTGGGGAGGATGAGGTTAAGTTAGTGTATGCAAAACAGTTTCCTGTTCTGGAGAGATTAATTGTGCGCGTTGTGCGGGAACCAATTCTCTGGAAGAGGAGGAAAATCGAACCGCGTCCAGAGGAAAATTTGCATTTTGAAGCGACCATGCTTCTCCTGTATGAAACTTTTTTGGCGGAGGGCGTCGCGCCGTGTGAGACCTTAAGTAATTTGGATATTTCCTTCCCTCCGGAAACTTGGGATGTGAGCGGGATGATAATGAAACGTCGGGTGGGGCGGGATGATGAACTTAGCCGGTGGGGATGGAAGGAAGAAGTTCCTGATTTTTATGCCAGAATTTCTAAGATTTTTCCCCACGTGGATTACCACGTGGTGGGGAAGGGGATGATGGACGTGAAAATGGCGAAGTTCAAGAAGTTTAAGGAGATGGGGGTCACCTTAGGGATTTTTGATGAGGAGGGAATAGTTTACGAGGATTTTAGTGAGATGTGGAACATGGCAAAATTTCAATCAAAAATGCTATTAACTAAAGTTAACTTTGCTTAAGTGGATTTGAAATTTGTGGTTGGTTGAACATTTGTTATAAATTTTGTTATAAATATATTGTTATATTAAATTTTGTTATAAATATATTGTTATATTAAATTTTGTTATAAATATATTGTTATATTAAATTTTGTTATAAATATATTGTTATATTAAATTTTGTTATAAATATATTGTTATATTAAATTTTGTTATAAATTGTATATAAATCAGTGTTACTTCGTGTTACAGATTTGCATGATTTTAAACATTAATTTAAATATCTAAAGTTTTCTCAAAATAAAATTCACTTACACAATATTTTGTTGAATCCTGCTATGGTAGAAAATGTTGTGGATTAAAGAAGTTTTCCCATTACCAAGTAAACACATGGACTGAACTTCCCATTTTGGATGGTAAAAACAAGTTTTCCCAGTTTTTCCCACCTGCCGTTGTAAAAAATAGTTAAGGACGGGAAAAACTAAACCCTGGATATAAGAGAAAGAACAGGGTTATCCTCCCCTCTCATTAATTTGATTGCATTTTTCCCGCATGGCCTCCTTAATAATGTCAAGAATCCAATAACTTAACGCAGGTAATGACTTCTCGGAAGTAAATTTGGTAATAATATTTTACCCGGTAGTAAAAACTGGCCTCCACGATGGTAAAACCTTATTGCTAAGCCATTACCACATGGTACAACTTATTCTTACCACTTTGGTAGAGTCATATACTTGTGCTTTTCGATCATGTTTATTACCAGATTATTCACAGTGTAGCTTACGTACTCGTGCTGGGGAATCCGATTTTGTATTTAGTTGTGCACGTAGTGAGGTAATTCTGCTCCCAACTTATTTTTAGCCATTTCAACTGACAACCTTTTTGTACTTAAACCGTTTTACGGATTTATTTTTAATATACACACCTCTTTATATGCGGTTTAATAATGAGGGAATATGAGTTTTCTTGAGGAGTACGTACGTACATAAACATGTATGTATTGACATGATTTTAGTCCCAACTTCTTTTTGAAGCCCCTCGGGCCAAGTTTTGGGGCATAACCCGGCTCGAGTTTAACGTTCACGTTGTCATTTCCGCGGTAGAGAATATCCCCCCGAATGAAAGCCTGGTCAGCCGGAGGTTCACTACGATCCCTATTCTTCCTAGATTAAAAGTTTTCGAAATTTTGAGAAAACAAGGTGTCCTTCATGAAGAAAGGCTGACCCGGTTTCGACCCGATTTGCACTTAAAGTTTGAAACAGAGCGGGACGAGGTTAAGTTAGGCTATGGAAAACAATTCCCCGTGTTGGAGAGGTTAATTGTGCGCGTGGTTCCGGAATCTGTCTCATCGAGGAGGAAGAATTGTCCCGATGACAATTTGCATTTTGAGGCGACAATGATTCTCTTGTATGAAACTTTTTTGGCGAAGAGTGTCGAGCCGTGTGGCACCTTAAGGAATTTGGATATTTTATTCCCTAATGAAGAATAGGACGTCGGAAGTATGAGAATGAAATGGACGTGTGAGGGGGAGGATTCTTTCTCCGCGTGGGGATGGAAGGAAGAATTGCCGGATTTTTATGACAGAATTTCAAAGATTTTTCCGAACCTGGATAACCACGTGGTCGAAAGAGGGAAGGCGGCAGTGAGAGCGGCGAAATAAACAAGTTTAAGTAGATTGGAGATACGTTGAGGGTTTCTGATGACGACGAATGCATTTGTACGGAGCTTTACAAGACGTTTGGGTTTAAAAAGGAGTTAATCAAAACTTCGATTAAGTTGTGTTTTACTGGAGTACGTTTAATAGGGGGCTCGTAGATTTGAAATTTGATGCTGATCTAAAATTAATTATCAGCTTATTAATAATGCCGACGTCAATTTTGTATCAAATAACTTTCTCTGGCTATTTATTTCATAAAAATTTTATGGCTATTTGGAGAGATAAGATTTGTTGCAGTGCATATACAATTCTCATACATACATAAATATGTATTAGAATATGCGACCTGTTGATATGAAAATGTAGAATTTAAGTTCGATGACCTTTTGGCTTTATGCGGTGATAATTTTGTTCAATATATTTTGTTTGTCCCTCTTAAACAGCTCTTTTTACAGATTTATGCTTAATCATGATAATTCTTAACAAAAAGGGTAAACTAGTTACTTTTGCCGCTGCCCGTCACCCAATCATGGTAGAGGGACCAGTTCCGTTGTCACTACCTGCGTTAATTGACGGGTCTACCAAAGCTACATATTATAAAAAACACTAAATAATTTAAATTTGCAATTTGCATTTTTTATTTTCTATCCCTGTGAAACGATAAATTTGTTTGAAACTTGCACTTTATAAGTTACCCTATTATGACAAACGAAAAACATAATAAATTTAAACTTGAACACCTCGCATTTGTATACCTATGTGTGTATATTTAACTGTGTCGACGCAAAGTAGTTTTTTATTCTAATTGTGGCCTTACACTGGACAGTTCACACGATGGTAGTTTTCTAGTTTTAATGGAAATTCCAAGGAAAGTAATTTGGTAACATAACAAATCCAATTGCATGAAATAATGAGACCTAATCCAGCTTTGTTAGTTAAAATAATTGGATTTTACTTACATGCACTCGTAGCAACTAGGTAATGAAAATAAAATGTGCGGAATAGATGTATAACTCTACCACGCTTGTAATGATTTGGTAATAAGTAAATCAATACTAAATGGTTAAGAATTTAATACCGATTAGCATTAAAATTACTACCATGAAGATCTATTTTATCACTGAATCAATACCAAGGTGGTATCGTACGTTTAATACTCTCGCGGTAGAGTCACATATCTATTCCACTCACTTTTTTATTACCACTTTGCGTAGAGTGGGGTCCATTTTATACGCCACAGAAGTATACCTTTAATCGTCACGTAGGATGAACTACGGAGAAATTTAACATTAATTTCCTGTGGTACATTAGGTTGAAGGTTGGGGAAAAAATCCTTGCACCAATTGGATAAATTTCTAGCTAAGATGTTTCTGAAGATTTTCCTTCTGGGAGTCCTCATAATCAAGATGTCCCCAACTATTGGTGAAATTCCTTCCGTGAGCTTTGGCCATTTTGGACCTTGTGTATTGAAATTTGTCAAACTGAGCACTAATCTGAAATACGTCGACCTAATGGAACACCTTATCCGCAGCAACAACCCAGCCGATCTTGTCTATACAGTAAGTGACCAACCAAAGTTTTCCAACCTTTCCACACACAACGAGAAGAAGATAATGGACTTCAACTTCTTTGAGGCCTGTACAGTCACAATTTTCGTTAAGTTTGGCATCGAGGATGTTCAATTTCGGGTAAATTATTTATTAACAAATCGAGACGCCTCTAGAAGTCTGATGCACTCTGTATTCGTATTCATTTGTCCTACACCTCCGAAACCGAGAATGTTTCTTGGGTACTTATATGATTACCGACAGCCGGCAAGAATCTTTGCACTTCATTTAAACATAGGAACTGATTTTTTTGAATCGTTGGATATGGAATGGTTCTTTGTATGCGCCTACTGTAAATATTCCCTTCGTCGTATCGAATACACCCCAAACGTTAAGACATTAACATTGAGTAGGTTTCAAGTGCACTGGAGGAAAGAATTCCAACTGGGTGTCTCCTTTGCGCAAAAAGTAGATAAAGAAGTGCTTGGTATGAAGCCGCAAAACTTAAATGCACCCTACAAGGAAGCTTGGGACCCTACGGAAATGCAATATTTAACAATAGCTGCCAGTCTAAATATTACCTCGGTCGAGCTTCGTAGTTCAGCCATAGGTGATTATTTGTGGGGATTTTACCAGCACAACCTAAATTACAGTTACTCTTATTCAGATATTAGCATGTTATACTCATTCCGTGAGGAAGGACTTGATGCCGTGTATTGTAATTTCAACGTATGGTCAGAAAACTCGGATTTGGCCATGTGGGTGTCACCCTTTCCGGTCGAGGTGTGGCTTGTTAGCTTTATAATCGTAGTGGCTGTAATTCGTGCACGCATTGCGAAGTATATGATACTGATGAAAAAAATTATTATTAATTACGAGCTACTTAGAACTGTGGGGGAGTTGGTTTTCGCAATTTATTGTAAATTTCTGAGGCAAGACTCAAGTAGCAAGTATCTCACGATGTGGACCACTATATCGCTATTTTTCGCAAGTGCTATGCTCCTTGCCCAGATTGAGTTGTATCTGACGGGGAATTTGCTAGCGCCACCGCGTTATAAAGTACTTTAAACCTTAAGTGAATTTTTTACTTACGATTTTACCCTTGTTTATTCGTCTGAGAAAACTGGAAAATACCAGTCTATGAAGTCCAGATTACAGGAGGAGTTTGTCAGGAAGAAATTGGGTGCCTTTCCCCATGATAAAACCATCGTTCTAAGGTACATTACTGATTTGTTAATTGCATTGTGTTGAGAGAAAATTTTCCAAGCGCCTGTTGAACTCAGGTGATACCAATTGAACCAAAAAGCTTGAGTAAAGCAAAAGTAAAGGGACCAAATTTCTATCAAAAATAATTTTTTAGCTACCGCCCTCGCATATCTCATGCTTCAGACCTTTCCGTTAAACAGAACGGAACATGCTTCAGTTCGAATAGCTCCACCCTCCACTTGTTTGATACTTTCTTTTATTATGGAAGAACATATTCTAATTAAACCCATGAAATAATGATTCAATTGTGCAGTGAGGATATGATAAGGGTAATGGAAGGAGAAGGGCTTACTTTTGTAATACTTTGAAGGGTCCGGATGATTCACTCACGAATTACCAAAAATCCTCGTCATCCTGAAGAAGACCCTTGAGGCCGAAACGTTGACAAAAAGGCCTAATCCGGACCCTTCAAAGTACTACAAAGTAAGCCCTTCTCCTTCCATTTACCCCCATTTATTTATGAAACTTCATCAAGAAATGGCTCTAGTTTTAATTCCTCAAACATACCAGTCATCACACCGTATAGTAAAAAATTATTGTTTTCCACCGAA